GCCCGGAGTTTCTACTTCACTTGAATGAAGGAATATCTGGGGCGTTCCCGAAAGAGATATATATAAGTCTATATTTGAGATCTCAAGTACATGGAACCCGGCTCAAAGTAGGGGAAGATCTAGGCCAGCATACATGGCTGATGTCAATCCCACCCGAAATCGGGCGTCAACAGATCATCACAGGCCAAACAAGCTGCGACCCGGAGAAAAGTTACAGAGCTTGAGCTTTAAAGTCATGAATAACCGACTAACTCATCTTATTCCACACCTAACGATTCAGACTACCCCTCAATACACGTTCACAAACTTATTTTGCTATCTTCACCTACAAATTTATCAATTGGTATAAGAATTAAGGTAGACAGAATTGATGAGATTCCACAGGGTGTAGTGGCAATACCTTTCAAGTGTTCTCCCTCCGAAATTTGCGCATGTGGAGTTAGTACTATCAAGTGCTTACGGCTGCAGCAGCATCTACAGCGGCAGTTACAATTAACGTTGATGTCATACTTAGCATAGCAATACTGGTGAGAAGTATTCGCATAGGCAAGAACCTGATTGAAAAGAAAGTAAGGTGAGTGTGAGATGAACCTCTGAAATACTACACATAAAACTCAGTAACTGCAGTCATAGGTAGTTTCCTGTCACATCCTGAAGGACCAAAGAGACCCCACCCTGGCTCAGTGATCCCAAGGAAGGACATCATCGATTGATATCTCGCCAAAGTAACAGACTTTAAAGGTCTCTGGAGATATATATCATTATCAAGGTGAGACAAACAAGCTTTGTAGGCTCAGTTCAACATATTTCCACTCTTAGATCATGATTCTAGGAAGGAAATGGATCGGACATCTAACCCTCGCTTCTTCCTTAATCTCAAAAAGGTAGATGATACCGTGTAAAGAGATAAACTTGAGTTCACCTTGGCCAGTCATCAGAGGAAAACTATGGAGAGTGACGCGTCGGCTAAACCTTCTAAGCTGGCCACGCTACTAAAGATGGAATAACATTCCAAACGTATATGTGAAATATCACGTAAAGCAACCCGCATAGTTAAGATCGACATTCAGTTATTAAGCCAGGTTTGCTGATAATTGAAATACCCTACCATAACAAAAGGGTTGTATGACCGGTTGTATGTCCACGCTATACGAACAGTGGAAAAAATATTGATGAGTATTAAGTGCATATCTAATATCACTACATCTCCAGCAAAAAGAGGTTCGTTTATATTGGTCCGAAAAGAGCATGAGTACATAAAGCGTGAAAAAGAGGAGTATCGCTTCAAGAGGAGTATCTAGTTTTGTGTTAGTGGTGATGTCTCAAGTCCAGACTAAATCCTAAGCGACATCTTCGTGGACAAACGCATACAAAGAGAACTAGGAGTCAAAACCAGTTCAGAGAGTTCAATAAAACTCCGTGTACAAAGAGAATTCAATCTTGGAAACTCTAATTGCATGACTGCAATCTTATAAGTGAGGTGCTTACATGCACGTAATAATTGAATTGAAATATAAATTACATAGACTTTCAGTCCGCATGCATCAATTGGTGGGTCCCTCCGAAGTCTGTGCTCCTACTGCATCTGCGCGCTCAAGATTTCGGGTTTACAAACTGTATCCGTATGCATCAAGAGGTGGGTCCCTCGTAAGTCTGTCATCTCTCACCCTCTCTCTGCCCAGCCTCACTCCCGACCAGCGAAAGCAGCACCAAAAATGTAAGAAGCGCGAACGCAAGTAGAAAATAAAACTCTTCCCTCTCGTCTCGCTCCCTGCCTCTCACCGCAACGCTGGGCTATTTGACTGTCCCAAGAAGTCTGTGCTTCTTTTGCTGTAGGTTTCCATGCAGTACACCGGGAAAATAAATTTTTTTAGGGTAAAACCTGTGGTCTCCCCGCATTTACTCAAAAAAACTCGGGGTGTAATCCTGAGTCTTTTAGGGGGTCACCCGGTTCCTTCCGGTTGTCCCCCCGTTTCTCCCCCTGTCCTGGAAATGATCGGCCTATTTCCGGGGGAATGTCAAACCCTGCTGTAACCTTCATGACACATATAATTACTTTGCAAGAATTTCTAGAATAAAACTTCACAGAAATCAATATCTAAACTAAAGCTAACTAAAATTAAGCCATAGCCAAAATAGTAGTGAATATCATTTTCTAACACATATATTTGAGTCTCATCAACTATAACATGTTACTTTGATTATGCTCTTAAATAATAAGTTTCATTTGTGCTAAAGATTTTTCTTGTGTCTCATCATTAATCACATAATGATTAATCTTTTACTAGATGATATACATGAATGTAGATTAGTCTTTAGCTTACTTCTTTAATAATTTAGACTCTATGAAAGAAAGATATGTATTGATAATAACTTTACAAGTAATTAGGTACCATAGTTTGTAACATTTCACATCATTAGCATATTACAAAAAACTACACTTTTTTATGCAGGATTCGACTTTTGTTTGATGAAATTCACATAATGTAATTTTATTCATAACATAGATTTTATGTTATATCAATATTATTTTAAAATAAAATGATAAATTAGTGTTGAACAGATTTTCAAAGCTGTAAGACTTAAGCATTTTCTTCATTTATCATTAAAATCAATATCTATTTTATTAATAAATAAAAAAAATCAACAATTTAAACCAAACATAAAATTTTTGGAAAGTTTTTAGAACCCTTCATGTCTTTTGATTCATATTTAAAAAAATTTGAAAATAACACACTATAATTGTGTCTATATTTTACACTGATATTATGAATTTTTGGAAAAATACCTCAAAATGAATTTTAATTCATATTTCACACAGACAGACTATTTTTATGAGTTTTATAGTTTCTTTTTTTTATCTTTTATATACAAAAATAAACTATTATATATTGCAAAAAAGTATCATACTTCAGGAATGTATCACGAAAATATAAAAATAATCTTTGATATTATTTAGATACAAAAATATTATACGTTATTTTTTCCAAAATATCAAAAGTGTAAAACCGATAGATATTTATTGAATCAAATTACAGCACATATCACATGTCAAATTTATATGATATTTGAATATGAATTTAAATTGAAATGTTAGGTTTTTTTCTAAATATAGCATATAAATATCATCTTTTGGGAAAAAATATTGATATTTCTAAAACTTAAAACCAAATTATATGATTTGATTAAATAATTTTCACATACATATCAAGTCGTTAAAAAAATGAGGTATATATCAAAAGTAAGGTCAACAAGTTTTTTTAACTTATGATTACAAACATTTAGTTTCAATTTTAAAATAAGTTTCAATCACAATAATTACAAAGATATGTAAGTAATGATAGTTTGTAATGACACAAGATTGATTGAAATAAAGTGCTTGAAGCACGATTGGACTTCTTTTATTTTAATGCTTCATTACTTATATAAAAAAAAATCCTTTCATATCTTCGGCAAAGCATGCTTTCATCATGTTCTAGCTTTAGAGCATAATCATGATATATATTTTTTCGTTGTAATAATATATTTTATGATAAATTGTATATATATATATAAAAGTATTGTGATCACAATTTCAGTTGAATAATATATTTAATTGATAAAGTAAAATATAAAGTAATATATTTATGAAGATAATTATGAAGTAACACGAATCACATATGATTCATAGTCCTCTTTGAAAAACTACAAACCTTTCATTTGTAGTTTCTCAGCCATTTTGGAAGGAAGTAAAGCAACATGAGTCCATAATCAGTAATTATGATATATTTGGACTTAATGTACAAGATCAAAGTAAAAATAAGCATTTATGCAAAGTTAAATTTCAACCATTTGAGCTTCACTTAACATGTGAAAATAATTGATAGCATGAGAAATATGGCCTAAATGTTCTTTAAATTTTCACAAAGATTAGTTTATAAATATTGAAATTGAAAATTATGCACTCTATTTTTCATCCATAAAATGTTTGAAAGAAAGCTTGGCATAATAATGGTCAAGTCGAATCCACTAGACGCAAGTTATAGTCTAATAGGACACAAATAAGCATTAATATATAGGAGTTCAATATATATCTCGTCTTTACAACATTCATACCATTTACGAATATATATTTTGTGTCAACACCTATCTATCCATTGACTTCGTGACCATCCTTAACATGCAATAAGATCCATAGTAACGTTTTCCAAGATTTATCGACATTGACAACTTGCATCTATACACGAAAGTTGGTCTCCAACGGGAGTGCGGTAACCTCATCTCACACCCAATGATAATGTATGATGGAATGCATCAACTATGACTCGAATTATAATAAATCAAATCATCATCTTCTTTCGCTTTCTTGCGCCACATACCTTGAGCATAAAGGTGATCACCTTTATGCTCAGGGTATATTTCTAACATCAAAACACTTACTCAGAACCAAACACAATCACACACAGTACCACGAACTCCATGGTATATGGATAATGATTGCTCACACGGAGACAAATCTTCAATATGTATGTGATTTTTATTTAAACAGATCAAATATTATCGAAACCTTATTAAAATTCGATATTGTTCCAAAAGAAGTTCCAGATCGAGAACTATGTAGTTACTTTCAGACCTTTATGTAAACCTTGTAAATACTATAATTGAAAAAAATCAAGAAATCTATTTTATTTTATGCTGATTCATGATCGAAGACTGTATTTTCTTTGTACCAGAGGCATACTTGTGCCCAGCAATGGAAAAATAATGTCACCCAAAACCCATGGGCACCCAATGTTGGGCTCTGCTGTGTACTCTCGTATCAGCAAGATCGAAGGATAGGAATCAGGTAGGAATATTCTGCGGGATCAGGTGGTCCGCTTGCGAGACGGGAGTTTCTCGAGGGCTGTGGAGAACGAGAGAGGGTCTCAGTCCACGTCACGTCGTGTATGCGATGCGATGGAGTCGAGTGAGAGATGGGAGTGAGAGAGAGTGCAATTCAGAGGGAGAGCTCAGGGACGACCGCTCGTGCATTATCCATCCAGTTCGTGAGGGGCAGCGGACCCACCGAAAGCGAGATTTTCCGGGAGGAAAGCGCATAGAGAGTAAAGACAGCAGGAGGGCATGGACTCGGCTCGCTGGCTCGCTTGCTCGAGCAGAGACCGTGGCCGATCTGAGGAGATTGGTGGCGCGGATCGTCTCGTTCGGTGGGTAAGGATAGTGCGATTCGGAGGCGCAGAGGTGTGGCTGCCGATGGAATTGCAGCATTGTCCGCTCGCCCCCCTTCGTCTCCGGAAGAGGCCGCTGGAAGAGGGCGGAGAGTGAGGAGGGAGGGTGGTGTTAGTGCAGCGGGAGATGGAGTGGCGAACTGGTGGAGTGCTCGCCCTGTCGGGAGCGGAGCAGGAGCGATGGTGGGCTGTCGCTGACAACATGGGCATCGCTGCAAAACCTCCCCCTCCTCCTCCTCCTCACAGGATGCTTCTGCCGGGGCAGTGCCCTGCGGTGTGCGTCGATCGAGGTCGTCTGAGGATTATGAATCCTGCTGTTCTGTCGTCGTTCCCGATTCTGTCGAGCACCTGCGATCATTCTCGTGCTTCCTCTGTGGCTTCGATTTTCTGCGCGTGCCCTGTTGCCGGCTCCAGCGACCAAGTTGGTCCGCGCACATCCGTCAGTGCCAAAAATGGCTTCAAGAAGCTCAGCTGCAAAATTCTAGACCACCGCGCCGCTTCACAGGGAGGCCGAGGCGACATTCTTGAGAGTTCCGTTTCCGCAGAGCCGAGTCGTAAAGGGACTGTTCCGATAGTCGAACGTGGACCTTCCAAGAGGGATGGACTACGGCGCTCCAAAGACCTTTTCGAGTCATTCAAATCCGACATGGAATTGGCTGTCCCGAGAAACGCCTCTCCTGCGGAGCTGGAGGAACTTTTGATCCGGGTGGAGTCCGCGAGTTCTGCATTGGATGTGGACCTCATCCTTTCTAGGTCCGGAGTGAATTTCTTTCCGGTGAAAAATCTGAACACGCTTTTAGCGGGAATTCGGATCGAAGACAGAATTATAGATCTCTTCTCTTGGATGAGGCGGAATGGCAAGACGAGGAACAATCCCTACGCATACAGAATTGTTTTGAAGGTGATGCTGAAGAGGCAGGCATGGGACAGGGTTGTGGAGATTCTCGAGGAGGTAGGCTCGACTTTAGATAATCACACTTGGAACAGCATCGTAGATGCCGCAGTGAACGCAGGTGCGCCGGAGTTTGCCGTCAAGCTCATCACTACTTTGATCCCCAGGAATTTCAGGCCACAACAGTCCACGTTTGTGAATCTCCTACGTCTTCTTCAGAAAACCAGGAAGGTGACTGAAGCTGAGGCTGTCTTCCACATGTTTGAGGGCAATGACTTACGCTGCTGCGGTGCCTACACTGCCATGATTTCCTTGTACACTCGTGCCGGTCTTTATCACAAAGCTGAGAAAGCCATTCAGGAGATGGAGCTCCGCGACATTACTCCGGACAAGGATAACTGGCTCATGCAAATTAATGCTTACGGTCAGCAGGGTAAAGTTCGGGAGTCAGAGAAAAAGTTTCAGACAATGCAGGAAGCTCAAGTCAGGCCTGACTTGCTGGCTTATAACTCAATGATCTTGGCGTATGGCAGAGCGCATCTCTTCGACCGTGCTTGCGCCACTTTTAAGAAAATGGTGGAAGTCGGTGTGACCCCCGACGAGTCTTCGTACAGGTCCATGATCGGAGCATGCGGCAGAGCAGGGAAGTTGAAAGACGCCTTGAGTCTCTTCTCCGAAATGAAGGCCCTGAATTATCGTCCCTCGCTTCAGAATTTCAACACCTTGATCAATTTATACGGCAAGGTGCGCAATGGTGGAGGGATTGTCAGGGTTCTTCAGGAAATGAAGGAGATCGGATGTAAGCCAGACTCCCAGACTTTGGATGCCGCTCTGAGGGCAATGGAGAGGGCTGGCAAATTGAAGAACTTGGGCAAGTTGATGGCTTCCTTGAAAGAGGCTGGTTGGTCTGTCGATGTCCCAAGTTATGCACCGTTGCTCAACGCATATCTGAAGTGCAACATGAATGAAGCAGCTCTTGAAACATTCCATACCATGCGCAAAGCAGCGTTGATCCCCAAAGAGAGTGTCTGTCTGGCCCTGATATGCCAATGTAAAGATGCAGGAAAACTCGATGACGCAATCTATTTGTTCTCTGAACTTCAGGCTGCTGGTATGTCACCGGGCCTGGAGACAACTTGCACGATGATCAATATATATGGTATGCTCGGGAATGTGGAGGAGGCAGAAAGACTGTTTGACAAGCTCAAACGATCTGGAGTCCAACTAGACATGGTGGCCTATAATGTCCTCCTGAGTGTATACATGAAGGCAGGTTTGCATGAGGAGGCGAAGAAGGTGTATCAGATTATTGAGCAGCACCCGGACCTGACTGCCGATGCTTACACCTTCCAGTCCATGCTGCGGGTACTGCAGAAAGCCGAGCTTGAGCAGGAAGGTGTTGAACTGTACTGGAAGATTCTGGATTTGGGCCTCGAGCTCGATGAGGGCCTCCTTACCTGCATTATCAACTGCTGTGGACGTGCCCTGCCCTTGGAGGAAACCAGTGTTCTTTTTCAGGCATTGCTGGATCGTGGATGTACCCCGAATGCGACAACTTTCAATCTCATGATTGACCTCTATGGAAAAGCAGGCATGATGGACAGAACTCGCTACATATTCGAGTTGGCTCAGCAGTATGGCATGGTGGATAAGATCTCTTATAGCACGCTTATAGATGCTTACGGAAAATGTCGAGACTTTCCAAATATGGAACGTACTCTGTGGGACATGCAGAGAAATGGATTCGCAGGTACCTTGGAGGCTTACAACGCTATGATCGATGCCTATGGGAAGGCTGGAATGTTCACGAAGATGGAAGACGTACTAGAACGGATGAGACGGGCTGGCTGCTGTGGTGACATATCAACCTACAATATTTTGATCAACATTCTAGGGAAGAAGGGTTTGTTGCAAGAAGTACAAAAAGTATTGGTCGAAATGGAAGAAAAAGGCTGGAAGCCTGATCGGTGGACGTACAACACTCTGATCCGCGCTTATGGTCTTGCTGAGATGCCGGATGAAGTCATAAAAATTTTCAAGGAAATGCAGGAGGCGGGGCTCATGCCGGATCGTGTGACTTATGTTAATCTTGTAGCCGCTTTTGAAAAGTCAGGAAATCTCCTCGAAGCTGCCAGATGGTCGCTATGGATGTCTCAGGCAGGGTACCAAAGCTAGGCCGAGTTGTGGCGTAGATGCTACAAATGATCCAGCAAATGCATCGCTTCTTTGACGATTCGGAGCGAGATAGGATGAACCCGGGATCGCGCGGTAGCCTCCGAGTTTTTTCATGCCAGGAAAACGAGAGGGGAATCCTTCTCCCCTGCTGATAACAACGTCCACGTCTCTTGTGCGGTGGTTCAAAAGTCAGGCGTGTGTAGATAGCAGCGCAGAAAAGTTATGTTGTGGCATTCCGGGTTTGAGAGCCGATCGTTGCTACTACAGCAAGTTTCTCAGGCAGGCGAAGTCACCCGTTCAGGCGTATTGGAAGAAGAGCAAAGCGGACGATCTCTTGAGTAAGATTTTGGTTTCTGTTTTCACTGGAGTAGCTTAGGTTGTCTGTGATATGTCATAGATACGATCGTCTTTCAGAGCAAGACCACGCTCTGGACGTTCTAAGGATCTGTATGTAATATGCTGTTACATATGTTTTTCAATTGCTTGAGTGACTTGACAATTACTCTTCGCGCGATCAAATCTTCTTTGGATCTTTATGCTTGCCTGAACGGACACTGGTTTCTAGTCACGTGAATATCTGCAGGTTACACTTTGATGCCACAAATTTGTGAGTGTTCTTATTGGAAGGTTGACTGAATGCCTGCTTTGGGTCTCTCTAACCTTGCCTAGAACATGTTTTTATGTCTTAGTTCCCATTTCTCTTCATTAACATTATTCTGGAAGTAATGTGACCTACTTACTGTAAAACCGTGGGTGATGACAATCGAGGTGCGTTAATCTGCCCTTGGTCATGCTCAAATTTTTTGAAGTGGACTCTCAGACAAAGATATAGAGATATAGAGAACTTGAAGATGAGGTAGAGCTGAAAAGGATTCGACTGAGCAAATGTTCCTCTTTGCTTTTGCAGATGCATTTCTGGAGGTCCTTGGTGAGGGTTTGGCAGCCCCTTTCACGACATGTGAGCACTAAAGTTCTACGATGGATAGTCTGGAAGTATTTCTTTCGTCTCTACGATGATAAAGAGATAGTTCTACTGGCGTCATGAGGTTCCTGAAGGAGTATAGTTCCCAGCTCCTATGCATTTCACCTTCAGATTTAGGGATTTGCTCGTTTTCATGGCTGAGAGATTCTGAGAGTCGAATAGCTGCTGGCGGATCTGGGAGGATCCTTGCATTGTCCAGGGAGCAGCGGCTTCTGGGAGGTGGGATATTTGTTATCTTTGGAGATCGTATACCAGAAGCGACATGAGCTGAAAGTTAGTACAGGCACGTGTCGAAAATGAGCGAGACAGTCGCCGTGCTTGTTCCCATCTTTATACAAGGAGTTCGTAGCAATTGACACTTTTATAAGTGCTTGGGAATAAGCAGCCCCTGAAAGCTACCACAATCCTTCACAGTCGATCTTTACGTGAGTAGTGCAGACATTGTGGACATGAATCTGTGGAAAGTTTAAAGAGGACATCGAAAGAGGGAGAAGAGGAGACGAACCATATCGCATCAAGTGTGAAACCTACAGGCTCAGAGGACACTCGCTCCAATCCGACGAAATTTGGAACCCTGGTAAGTAAATTGGAACCTAGTTCTTCTTTGTTGCCGTGCTTCTTTATCGGCAGTGTAACCTCATTGGGCAGTCAGTTATAAGAAAATTGTTGTTAAAATCTGGTGGTGTCGAAGGAAAAAGGCTGTCGAGCTTTTCCTTAAAGGAGAAACTTTTTTTGGGAGCTTAACGCTGGCCTCTGTGGAACTCCATGTCCACACATCTCTGCCAAACTTTATGCAATCCATGTAGATTGAGGTTATCACGGTCCAACTAAGGGGGCATAAATGATGTGTATGTAAATCTTTGGCATTATCTTGACTTCTCATGTTGACCAAAGAAGAGTTTTAGGGAAAAGAGGATGTGAGTAGCAACATATTTCTTGTATCGTAGGAAGTTTCCAACACTTGTGATCTGTCTCTTGCACAGCTGAGAAGGCGAATCTTGCAGTATGGATCATACGAGTGCTCTCAAGAAGCGCATGTAGGAATCATCTAAAGCAAGTTCAGTCCAGAGGATATTGCTTCGGCATTGACCGTCGATTTCAATGCAAGAACAATGGTTTCACTGCAGCAACAGATCATTGTGTGTGGGTTGTTATGTCTGGGCCATCTCATCCATTAAACCTTCACGATAGTAATCATAATTGAGAATTATATCTTCTGATTTGCAACTCAGTGCTGTGAAGGTGGCAGTGGAAACCTCACTGTTGAAGTTTGTGTTGATAAAATATGAAGAACAGTTAGTGTGCTACTAGTCATTATATGTGAGTGTATTTCTGAAGAAAGCGAAGAAAAAGTAGAATAGCATTGGATTTGCAGACTTAATGGGAGAGTAGTCCAGCATTAGACTGTTTGGGAAGGGAAGAAACTGTGTCTCCAGCACAAGAAGTACTGCGTTGTAAAGGCTATACGATTGGATAAACAAGTCAAACCTTGAACGTGGCGTTCAAAATTCCGTAGCTCTTTATATGTGCCTTCGCCTTTCTTCAACGGTGCTCTGTACCCCAGACCCTAGCAGAGGCGGTGTATGATCAAGGATACATGATATTGGCGAAGTTGTGACTTCATCTTGCAACTCAGTAGGAGGAGAATCAAGATCGTGCAATATGTAATTGATGGAGGTCAACGTATATTCCTACACGGACGTAAACACATGTACTAGCATGTCGATGCAACCCAAATTGACGAGTTTGAGTATATGAACTGTCTGCTCTTTGCAAAGGAGAGGACTCAGAAAGAAAGAGACTGAGCGTAGGACTGAGTAATTGCTATGCTGGACCCAGAGCCTTCCACGTTGCGGACACAGTCATCAATGAACTTTAGTTCTGAAGTTTAGTTGTGTGTACATCCCGTGTTGCCATTCTACACTCCGCATACCACATATGGAGGTGTTTGTCGTACAAATCTTAATCTTTCTACTAGAACTTGGATTGAATTAGTGAACCATGTACTCATGATGTCGATTATATGCTTAAGTTTCTTGGTGAAAATTTTCTATAGTATGTATCATACCAAAGATGTATGTTTTGAAGAGTACATCATATCTAGTAAAATGTATGTTGAGTACATTCGAAAAGGTGTTCCATCCAAACATAAATCTAATTACTGAAAATTTTGTTGCTACTCTTATGATTATATGATGTGATTTTAGAAACATTGCATTGAATTTAATAGAATACTTGGAAAAGATTTGATGCTACAAATTCGTATTCATAATTCTTCATTAGATTTGGATTATGAAAATTGAATGCTGTTTACGGTCAGCATCACTTTTCAAACTTCCGCGATTTACATAGAAGTGAGACATTTCTGCTCCTTTGAAAGACCCAATATTCTTTGTAATGTAATACAATGAATTTACAAGAGTACATTTGCATGTCAAATCTAGATTCGTAGTTGTGATCCAATTGGATAAAAAAAATTTGATTACTTTATACACCTATCTTAAAGAAATTAAATATATTTTATCAACAATGTGATGATATCAATTCAAATTTATTTATAAATGTATATAATTGATATTTACATGAAAAGATAACTTGTGAGTTTAATTCGTACAATAATATGTAAAATATTATTCCAAATTAGTATGCTCCTTGAATTCAGTAGTCTAAAACGCATTAGCATGTGTCTAAATTTCTTTCACTCGCAACTGTACATTGTAGTTTAGACAAAAAGAACTTTATGTTTGAATTATGCTTTGAATGTGTCTTTGAAAAAGCAACAATGATGGAATGCTCTGCGTTTTTGTTTCAAAATTTAGAGGGTTATTGCTGTGGTGCGGTCCTGTTGTCAACTATGTTTCGTGCTGTAGATCCTGAATAGTTTCATCTCATCCGCTTGTGAAACTAGCTTGTGAAACTAACAGACGCTTCTATCCTGTTGTGGCTTCTGTCTAGCGAAGGTGTGTATAGTAACGGAAACAGTACAACAAACTTCACCGACTACAATAATTCAATTCCAGCTTTGCTATGTTTGTTGCCAGATTCGCACGAGTCTTTATATAGTAGTGGAAGAGACGAAGTATAATAGTCTCACTAGGTACGAAGGAGGTAATTCTTCATGACATTTATCTTCGACAAACTAAGTGAAATCTTCTCTCAAATTTGAGTGCTTAACAGGCTTTATTGTGGTTATATCCTGTCGACAATAATCCCCGATTCGTGTACTGTTAACAACTCCATCATGATGAGACATAAACAGCCAAGAGAATAACTCCGTTTGGGATTGACATGCGTCACGACCATTGAAATACCCCCTGATTCCCCCTCAGTTAGAATGTAATATGTGTGTCAGAGATAATGTGAACAAGTAAGTCGGCAGCCTGCGTAAACGAATAGCGAGTGAGGTAAATCAATTACGTCACTCGAGATCACACACATGTAGTCTAAGAAAAAATAAACACCAAACATAGTAGTAAATTTGGTCTTTCACATGGAGCCCAAAGACGGCTCTATATTGACGACTTGAATTCTGTTGTAAGCTCAACAAGAGTATCAAACGAAGATCTCATTGGTAATAGCTGATATCTCGTGAAGTGGTTCCAATCTTTGTCACATACTACTGTACCTCACTTCGTTTCAGAGATTTCCTTACATTCACCCACATGTTCATGAACTGTAGTCTGTGCTCTTCTCTCGTTCACACATACTTGACAACAAATAAATAAGTTTGAAAAGTCCAACCGGTCCTAGGTCTTGATCGACGCCGTCCAAGGGACAGCTAGCAATATGGAAAACTAAATTTGGGTTTATTAGGTAAGGAGTTCCACACACTGTTCGTTTGTTTACATGAGAAGAATCAGCAGACTTAGAGAGTTGGAAAAGAACAATGTTTTGACGTAGGTATCACAAATATAGGCCACAGCCTGCTTTAGCTATTGCGTTAGACACCTAGATGCAGTACGAGGCTAGGTGCAATACGGGGTTACAATGCTACAACATGTGTTACAGAAGCCAATTCGAGTGGAGAGACGGCACAGCTGTGTAGTTCCTCTGCAGGTTGACAATACTCGCAGCAGACTGTGATTAGTCCCATACCGTTATGTAACATATGCCTCACTCTCCTACAAGTTTGATTTCAGTCCAAATCAAGCTTTGCATATCTTAATTCCACCGAATTCGAGTTCACTGTAAGACTTCGCGAGCCAAAGAGTTCTGTTTACACTTAAGCATTGCATAAGGAACTAATCCCAACTGTGCATAGATTCAAGACTTCACTCTCGAAGACTTCTATACCACGAGACTGCGCTGATTCTCTAAAACTGACAACTATTGGGAAGAAATTTCCTTCCATCATCGCTAAATGCCAGTCAGAGACCAATTACACTAGACTGCAAAGACCGTCATGTTTCTGGAATATGGCCATGTTTCAGCAAACACGCGCTTTTCAGGAAGTTTACACACGCCTGGTTCAGAGAAGAGCGGGCTAAAAACGTGATGATAACTCCATGAAAGAAGTGATGGAAGATTACATGAGAAAATCCCACAGCAAAGTATCCCAACACTTCGAATTGAGTGCATTACAGCAACTGACATGATCTCCAAGAGTTTCATGAGAATGAGAACACATGAAAGTAAATCCGAAAAATACTCTGCAAAGACTTCATAGACTAGCCGGTGGGGGCATTCCAAGAAAAGCGTCATTTTAGATTTGCAAGATTGACATCCGTTTGGAAAGGTTTTAAATCATTAAAGAGGTGTACAACACTATCACTATGATACGCAATGACATAGCAGAGCCAGTAACAATAAATCAACGGTAAGACTTCTGGAATCTGGAACGAGCTCCCCGTCCTCCGAATTTCTTCGGCTCGCAGCGACGAGGGTCGGCAACAAGGAGAGTTCTGTCGTAACGGACGAGCAGATCCTTGATCTCTTTCTTGGACTGCTCATCGACGTACTTTTGGTAATAGGCAACCAAGGCCTTAGCAATACTTTGCCTAATAGCGTAAATCTGTGAAGTGAAACCTCCTCCCCTCACGCGAATGCGCATATCCACATTGGCAAATCGTTGACGACCCAACAACAGGATGGGCTCGAAGGCCTTGTACCTCAGAATTTCAGGCTCCACGAGCTCGATCGGGCATCCATTAATTTTAATGAGACCCCTGCCCTTCTTACAGTAAGTCACTGCAACAGCCGTTTTTTTCCGGCCAAAACATTGCACGGACTCCATCCTCTCCCGTTCAGCAGTTCTGCAGCTGCGGCCGCAGACTCTCGCAATCCAAATTCGCGCTCCAACCTGTTCCTGTACTAATTTCTCGATCAATCACTGACGCCCTACTCGCAAGCTCACACTCATCGATGGAGCGAGAAAAGACCGACCCTGGCGAACTGAGGCGTCTTAGCCTGCCCTGCGAGTTCTCTGAAACCCTAAAGGCCGAGAACTTCTTACAGACACTATAGTGATGCCACACACCGACCTTTAGTTGACCGGCCACATAGCGGCTTCGTAACCGCAGCTGTATGGCTTGACCATTGTAGGGAAACACCAGAACTCAAACTTTCTGGCAAGCCGAGGAGTCCAGGTACTCCTGAACTCCTCTCCTTGCCAGTGATGGCATACATTGGAATGGGGATTTAACGTTCCATATCAAACTCATAACTTGCTTTGGTCATACTGAGAGCTATCTGATATTTTTCTCATCTTCCATCTTGTCCTAACAACCTCCACTATTTCCCAACCTCGCCTTGCATTAACATCTTAAGAAGATCATTGTACTCTATGACTGTATTTTGACAATCTCCTTTATAATTCAAATAGCTTATCGATTATTTCTTCAAAATTTCCTTAAACTCAGAGTATGAAACATTATATCATTCCGATATATAAGAGACAATAGAGATCGGTGTGAAAAGTGTGCCTACCTTGAAGCGTTTAAAAGTTTAAAAGTGATCACAACCTTGATATAATTGGTTCAATTTCCTAAACTTTCATGACAATTAACAAGTTTGTATTACCGTGATTTACATGCAAACCATTTGAAGAATAAATCTAGACAGTATGTTCACGTTTCTATCAGTTGAGTCTGTTCAATCACATTCTTAAATGAAGAAAAATAGAATTTTCCTCCAGATATAACAACATTTATTGGTTTCTTGCAACAATTTTGGGATTTGATGGAATAATATATATAGTTCAGGTCTATAATCACTAATCATGCAAAGTACAATGATGTGATTATCTATATTTTATTGATTTTGAAAACAATTAATACTTGTAAACGTATAGAACCTCGAGATTTCAATAATATTTTTCAAAATGAAACTTAATCATTTTCTAGCATTAAAAACATGTTTTTTCCTTATATTAATTTTGAAATTCTTTGAATATATTGTAATTTATAAATCCCATATTTCATTGTTAGTTTTACTTCTTGTCGTGTCCGTTGTTAACCGTCGGGTGTCAATGTACTCAGGAAAGGGTCAACGTGACCTACCCCGCCACCTTGAACATTGTACCATCTCGTAGGTCATGTTTTTTATTAAATGTCTCTTCAGATTGTATGTTTTTTGTAATTTCTTTGGTAAAAAATGTATATTTATCTTCATCAATCACATACAAAAAAAATTTTGGTAATGAAATTCTCATGTTTAAAAAAAAATCTTTTTTGAAATAATTTCAAATATTACATTACAGTATGATGTTAAAAAAGATATTAAAAATTTTTGAAGATAAGTTTTTGTTAATTAACAACTATTTTTTATATCAAAAAAAATATTTTTAATAAATATAAAAATAATTATACAACGATTGATTAATTAATTACCATTAAGTGATTCATAAATTCATTGAAACATGTTTTTTATTCTGAATATACTAATTTTACAATAAATGTAGATATCTAATATTTAAAAAATAATAAGAAAAAATTATTATAGTTTATATTTTATCTAAACAATACAAAGATATCAACTCAAGCAATTTATTTTTTTAATCAACATGAACAAATCTTATTAAATTGTATGCTTATTTGCACAAATTATTTATTAAATAAAGGTTTCTTTTCTTGTAAATAAATATTTTTTTATATGTTACCATTGTTAAAATCACACATAATAAATCTATTCATCAAATTGATTATGATAAGTCAATGCAATATTAGTTCAATTTGAAAATATACATTGTATAATTTGATATCATCTCATTCTTACATTCTAATATCATAATTGAGTTCATCACATCAACATTATGTGTATGTGACAGAATAAATTTTAAAATTTTAAAATAATAAGATGGACATGAATTTATTTTTTATAATATAATTGATATTGAAAAAATTTTACAAAACTGAATAAGACAAATCCAACATGTTTGGGCATCAAACATAAAACACAATAATAGAAACAATAAATGTTATGTCAAAAAATACAAAGAAACTTGTTTTCAATGAAGAAGTAAGCAAAAGTATGGGACATGATTTTTTGAAACAAAATTTATATAGTTTTGAATATATAAGAATTTTGTGAGCTGATTATGTCAAATCATTATAATGCAATCCTTATGTTACACAAAAGAGCAGTGTATATAATAGGAGAGTGTATATACACATGATATATTTGGCAACAAATATGCAAAGAAATCATATATATATAATCAATGTATTAAAAAATTATTTTAAAATAGCAATATTTACGTTTTTTCAATAATATTGAACAACCATCATATGTTGTGAATACTCAAAAAATATTATAATTGTTTTTCAATTTTATCATATTTTAAATTATAAAAAATAATTCATTGTAATAACGCAAATTTCAATTAAAAGATCGTATTTAGATATAATTTAAAATTTAGTGATATTCAGAGACTGAAAATTATCAAATATATTATATAACATGTTAAATAACTAATTAAAATCACTAGCATTATCTAAAATTGGTTATTATTACAAAGTAGTACACAAAAACGTATTAATAATAATATTAATAATTTAAAATAAAAAATTTAAAGTTTTCATATCTTAAATTACAACACAAATTTATATAAGAACACCAAATATACCTTTATTCTTTTAATTAATTTAATTAATTAATTTAAATAAGTTAATTATTTAGATAAACTTTGTATGAATCTTAAATCTATCAACATAAAAATATGTAGAATAACCAACAATTTTTCAAAAATATTGTTTCCAATCACAATTAACAATGTAAATATTTGTCAATTGCAAACTTGATAATTTAAAAACTAATCGCAATATTGACGTGTATATGGCAAATAGTCTTCATGCAGAACTATTATTATGTTTCAAATAAAATCATTTTATAAAACCATATTTTTAATCTTATATATGGTGCAATTAATTATATCTTTGTTTGAACAAGATTTTAGAATTGAATAAATATCTAATTAAAATAATAACACGTACAGTTTAGAAAAAATCAAAAAAATTGTAAACCAACCAATCCACAAATGATTGTTCAAAATCAACAGGAATATCATGTACGATATTTATCTGACATATATATGTATTGTTGCACTAATGTTGAGGTTAATTTATGTTAAGAGTTAACTTATATCTTTGCCAAATATAGCTAGGAAGGTCCGCCCACAATTGGGGTTACCTAACCTCACATACTTATAAGTTTACAAAAGTTTTTTCATTTTTGCAATATACTCTGTCTGGCCTGTTCCGGGCGTGGACTTAACCCTGTACCTAGGTTTGTCACGTCATCTTTATGTTCTCCAACTCGTGTTTATCATCTGGCTTATTATCAACTGGCTGTTTTTAGTTTACTGTCTCAACCTAACAACTAATTATGTTATGTAATACTGTAATTTATATTAATATAATTTTTAAATGTTGATAAAAAAATTATTTCATACTTTATTAATAAAATAACATAAAAAATTTAATTAATTTTGTGTTAGAAACCATATTAAACTTATTGATATGAATTTTCAATTATTTCATAAGTCAAGTGATAATAGATTTAATTTCTTATGAAAATGTGAACACAATTTATAAATATAAAATAAATAACCTACAATAATAAAAATACATTTTAAATCATAAAAAATGTGAAATGAAATCAGTTTTTAATCATGTCACACCATGTTTAAAAAATATCATGGTGTGACACTTTTAATTTAAGATGCATAGTGTATTATTAATATGAATTAAAAAATCTATGAACAATTTGATAATTCAGCATAATTTTGTCCTTCATTCTGGGTTCACAGATGCTACACATAGAGCAATACAAATATATTGCATATAATATATAAATGAGTACATGTTGTTGTGTTCAAAAATCCTAAAGTGGGCCATAATGCCTAGAAAGCCAAAGAAGCATTATTTATTAAATTATAAATTCAAATTATGATACTTGTATTTACAAATAATTGCATATATTGCAGAATAGATTTATGTGCTATCAAGCTATTAAAATATGATAAATATTATTTATATATTAATATATTATAAATGTACAAGTATTTTATGTAAAAATTTAAATGTTTTTAAATTAATAGAATGATTTTCAAAAATGAGATTTAATATATTCATCTTCCTGAATATACTTTTGATGAACAAAATATGTATCTTCACTACTGTAGGATTCTTCATGAAATTTATATAGTGTAAACTTCATCAAATAATGGTAATATGGAACCAAGAAATCAATGAGAAGTCATCAATTAGAAATCAATCAATCCGAATTAGAATTTGAATACATATGTTGATACACAAATATTAAGAACATATCAAATGTAATTTATAAATAATATGAGAAAACAAATGGAATTCAAATCCAATTAATATTCTATGTCAAGATTTACATTATGTTTTGATAGTGATTTGATGACAAATATGTTTCATAACACCTGGTATATTCAAATTATTCAGATATAGTAATCTACAGATTTGTTGAGCATTTTAGGTCACACAGAATAATTCATGATTTGACATGTAATAATCTATAAAGAGCCATAAATAATGCTATGCTAACTTAGCTTCACAGCAAATGAAAGAAAACAGATCATTATGTTGCATGGTAACTGCAGTGTAACTTTTTCAAAATCTATGAAAATCCGTATTCAGAATCTAATGTAGATGCAGTTACATAAATCCAAACGATGACATTATTTCAAGTTTTCTCCATATGAAAACCTTAGTAGTTGGAAACAAGAAGCCAAATAAGTGATACAATATCTATTTCAATACTTATTACTTCATATTTATATAATAATTCATAAATAGCAAATATCCTCATGCACTATTGCAAACATAATATACTAATGATATTTTTTATAATTACACCTTATATAAATTTTTATAATCTAATTGAGCATATTCTTATGACAAGTTTT